TTAAGTAACTGAGCCACCCAGGCACCCCAAGGCTAACCTTTAACTGATTGATGAAGTCCCCTCGTATTATCGAGGATAACTCTTATTTAAATTCAGTGGATTATAGATGGGTGTGAAGCACAGCTACACAATACATAACATGTAGGTTCATGGTCTATTGAGTAACTGGGTCCTCCAGCCTCGCTAGGCTGACACACAGAATAACATTCACAGTCTACCCTTGTCAGCTTGGCATCGTGTACATCTTCCTAAAGCATCCTTAATCTCCACATAAAGTACTTCTAACATCAAACAACTAACCCACATACAGAAAACATGTTAACTCTCCCCAGAAGAGGATGCGATGTTCTTGGGTCATGCTCACTTCTCGCCTTCATATACTATAGCTTAAATGCTGTGATGTAAGGTTAACCATTTTTAATATATCTTATGGTAGGTAATGAGAGGATACCAGAGGGAAGAAAAAAGATGTGCTTACTATGTGTGTATTTATAATACGTACATATTTGTTTATGTACACACAAAACAAGGAAGAAAGGTAATCAGAGTCCTTGTTTTTCCCACTGGGTATGTAGTTGTAGCTGGTATTTAGAACTGCTTTTTATTACCCATTCCATACTCCCTCTCCCTCAGCAAGCTGGTCGTGGCTGTGCCTGGTGGGGTGGCCCAAACATTTATTCCTGAAGAGTCCAGGCCATTGGCTGTCCTCCCTGAATTGAATTGTAGTTTTCCATTGACTATAGTCACAGGACTTGGTGGTACTGAGATCCCTTAGAGGATCCCCTGTATTTGGAACATACTATTACCTCCATTGTGCAGTAGCAGCCCCGTTTCCCCCAGGGAATCAGGATCCGTCATCCCAGCCGGTACGGTAATTCCCTTCATCTGTTGAATCAGAGATAGGAGCCCAAAGTAGCTGGTAGCAGTCTTAATGTCCAGCATGTTGGAATCATTGTGTCGCCCGGTGGAAGCATTCCTTCCTTTGGAACAAATGCCTCTAAACTAGCACAGCGCAAGAACATGGGGACATTGCCCCAGCTGGGCTGTAACCGAGTCTTCAAAGGCCATTCTGCCACTCTGTCAGGCCTGCGACTTTAGGAT